AACTTATGAATAAATTACTTCGCAGAGGCTAAATACACGCCCACTGTATGAAATAAATTTATTGTTAGAGCTATCTAGAGTTACTTACTAGACATAAGATTAGAAACATACATTCAATAACGAGAATCATCATGTAGCAGGTCCTTTTCACAACATCACTCTCATCACGGCCTGAACTTTCCCGCCTCGTGTACTTTTATATTCAAGGAGTCACTTATATCATGTGCCCATCTTTGTGATGGTCGGGACCTGCCCACACCCCTACCCCTTCCTGGTACCATGCCTTCTGTTCTTTTTCTCCCCAGTCCACCATAGCGCTTCATGTGGCCAAAATAGTTCAGCTTCTGAGACAAGATGCTGTTTATTAGCAAATCTTCCTTGACGTTATACTCTTTTAAAATGTCAGTATTTCTTCTCTTCTTTGTCGACGGTATTTTGAGAACCTTTCTACAGTATTTCAGATCAAAAGCCCATATGTTCTTTCTTAAAGACAGATGCGGAGGATCATTATCATCGTCATGTGCCTTGCCAGGTGGCGTAATTCCACTGATGGCATTACTGCATTCCACTGTCTCAAGCCATCCACCATTTGTTTCTCTTTGTCTGCCTCTGCCTCTTTTACCAGTAATCTTTCCAGTCGCACGAAATTTTTTCAGTACACCTTTTCTCATCACATGACCAAAGAACTCCTTCTCAGCTATATTCTCAGCTATATATCCTCCTTCTGAGGATTTACAAATATGATTAATATCCAGTTACACATGGTTCGTTGCTTTGGTCTGAAAGAGTTAAAAAGATTAATATCCAGAATTTTGGGTTTTTTTTTTTTATTTTTTTTTTTTTTTTTAATATGTTTACGGAATGTTAAAATGGGTGTGCATACAAGTCTGTGCGTAGTTTATGTATTGTCTTTTACTTCTTCTTGGCGTTCACCGGATAGTTCTGTTTTTCATCCATCTCTGGACTTTAGGCTTGTTCTGAACCTAATAAGTAGGTAAAGGACCATTTTCCACGCATTCAGGCCTATTGGGGATATAGGGCTGGACTAATAATCGGCAGTTGGTAGGGTGACGTGGTCTGCATCACGACGGTGCTTTTACTTCCCATGATCTGGTACCCATTCAAGGCTGGGTCAGCTCTGCAGCCAAAGTCATTTTTTTTAAAAAAATCCGTAGAGAAAATAAATTACTAGTAATGAACTGCCCAGCTACACACTAGCTAACCTGACATTGAGGATTGGTCAGGCTGGTCTGCGTTAGAGGGTGTCCCGGTGTACTGGTGTCTTCACAAAGCTTTCTGCGTTGCGTGTTAATCGTTCTTCTGTGAGCAGAGTCCGCACACATCGCGTTCTCACTCGTAAGCAGATTTAGTGTTTGCTGGTGGGTATGTGTCAGCCGTCTGGGATTTTCAGTAGGACATGAGTTTATTCCAGCTGTTGGCATGCGCCGTCTGCAGCAACACAGTGTTTTGCTGGCCACAAATGCTAATACGCCTGAAACCACGGAAGGCAGAATGAACTAGGTTTAGTGTGTGGGGTAGGGATTGGTTGGGGGTTATGACATGTTGTATATGTTTCGGGGTCGTTAGAAGCGCTTACATCCAGTAATATAAAGCACGCGTGGTCGCCGGTAAGACCTTCGACACAATGCAACGTCGCACCAAGCTGACACCCCTGCCACTTAAACTTGCGCGTCTCAAAGCTTAAGACGCATGAATGAGCATCCAGTCACCGTATCTTGGCGCGATTTGTCACTCATAAGTGTATAGCTGGGCCCGAGTTCGTTATGTGTTCCGAAAACAAATCAGACATACAGTGATCGAAGAAAGAGGGGGTGGAGAAAATGGGAACGTGCTATTCATAGTTTTTGAAAGCCCCTCGAGGTGGCTATGCCTCGAGGTTCAGTCAGCTTTGTGTGTGTATTTGTATAATCGTTTGTTTGTTTGTAAACCTTAGGCTCGGTATTATGGATATCGCAACCTATCGGCATTGATTCCATTGTAAATACCGTAATTCTGGGAGAAATGTGGCTTTTCTGCCAACCCCTGGAAGTGAACCCGGACCACAAGGGGTTCGTCACCCGGTTTAGCCAACTACGCTAGAGAGCAGGACACTGTATAATCAAATCACCTTTGAGTGACTGATGTGTCCAGTGTCACGTCAGTGACTTGTGTCGTTCCCCGGTAACATCCTAGTATACGACCACGGCCGGGCTACAGAAAATAAATACTGGAGGTCGCGTACACGACTTAGGCTATGCTGACCTTGAAACCTTGCCATTCTATTCCTCTTCCGGGACTGCAAACAGAATGTTTCATACTTAGTGACTCTTTTCTTCTTCCTTGCGTTCGGGTTTGAATGCTCACGTTTCGTTGCCTTTATGAATTGGTATTTCAGTTCCTAAATATGTAATAAAAGTCGATGGTGTTATTTTAGGACAAGTACAGAAATTTAAGTATCTGGGCACATGGATAATATCAAATGGAAGATGCATAACTGAGATAAGAAAGAGAATAGGACAGGCAAAAATTGCATTTCATAAAATGAAAAAAAAATCTTGTGCAATATGCCCTTGTCATTGAAAGTTAGAAAAAGATTTCTTGCTTGCTACATACATCCAGTTTGAACATATGGTTGTGAATCCTGAGCAATCGTCAGGTCAGACAACTTCCTAGGGCCTCAGAGATGTGGTTTAATAGAAGAATGCTTAGAACAGAGCTATTCAACTAAGTTTACTCAGGGGCCAAAATGTTGGAAAACGGGGATCATCCGGGTCAGAAGCCAAAGTCCCATCATGGGTCACGTTAGTTGCGTATCCTTTACAGGACGTTGCAGAACCAGCCCCAACAGCCACTGGCTGTTGTGTTGTTTTTCTAGGCAAATTTACATCCAGTAGTTTGCCATTGCTTTCTGAGTCGGCTTTCTTGATACCACTGTCGAAACCAACGTAAGGCGCACGGCCCGCAGCTGGGATTCAACCCGGAATCCCTGAATTACGAAGCGTTCGCATCGACTTAGCCACAGATCCGACAAGTTCCACCATAGAAAGATAATTAATACAACTGGCAATGATCTGCAGGACACTTGCTAGGCCTTCGCGGGCTAGATTTGGCCCGCGGGCCGCCAGTTAAAAAGCCCTGGCTTAGAAAACCTTGGACAAACACAAAAAGCAGCCAAGAGGTTTTGAAAGAGGCAGGAGCCCGAAGACAACTTATCACAGACATCAGAAGGAGACAGTCATCATTTTTCGGCTATGTTATGGGAAGAGAGAAAATAGAACATGTTGTGACCACTGGAAAAATCTGTGGAAGGAGGGACAGAGGAAGACAACGAGAGAAGATGCTTGACAGTCTTGCTGCATAGCATGGAGGTGTGTCGGCACACGAACTGCAGAAAATCGCAAATTGTGGAGAGGTATGATCGCCCACACCAGTCGGCAAGGCACCTGATGATGATGTAGGTCCACTATGGTTCCCTATAGCTTACCATTCACACTTTGTCCTTGAGGCCAGACCCTGTGAAGCAAGAAAATCCAGTAGGGTTTAGTTGAGTTGAGTCAAGAATTGACATCACAGCACTAGGGGCATTCCCATGCATATTCCGTCCTCATCTTCAGCAGCCAGCGCAGAGTTCCAATACTGGTGGTGCGGGTCACAATCTGGTTTATATATCAGTCTTGCCTTTCCTCTGTGTATAGTGAGCCATCTAGTAGAGTTTAATCTAAAAAAAAAAAAAACGTGCAATTCTCGAGGCGTCATCCTGTTGTAAAAATAAAACTAGTTCACTGAGAATGAAAAGCGTCGCGCTGTTCCTAAAGATAAATAATAAAACAGACAGCGAAAATATTTTCTTTTCCAAAATTATCTTTCAGGTGAATATATGTTTACTTGTCATGAATTGCAACTCAAGTGTAACTTATTTTACCAAAGAAAACAGCGTGCTTTGTTAAACTGGGTGATCCAGTTTCTGTAGTTATTTTATCCAGATGATCTAGTTTAAGAGCATTGCACTGCATCCTGGACCTATGATCTCAAAACATGTTCTAGTTAGAAGGATGACCCAGCTGGTCCCCGCACCTCTCCTTGTTTTCGTTTCCCTCCCTTCTTGCCAGGTTGTCAATATTCCAATTTTTATGGTTATTCATGTTTACTACTCGATTTCTCAAGATTTTACCTGTGTGGGTTCCGCGGACCTATTTTAAATGAAAATCTTATAACATGGTCGTTTGCAAAACAAAACAAAAAACTAACTAGGATCTAACGAAGCAGGATGCACTTGAGTTAATGACGTTCAACCTCACCAGGGCCACACAACGAGCGATAAACACCCGGTGATACGGAATGTCCCTTTTCGAATAAGAAAAGACAATGTATTGATCGGCACTCATTCGAATAAGAATCGAAATCCTGTTCAATTGTTATGTTATCTCAAGGACCTCGATATCCGGGGTGGCGCTTTAAGATAAAAAAAAAATGCGTACCATTTTGGGGCAGATTAATTTAATATTGGATTTGCTTGGCCGAAAGCCGAAAGTTGCAGATGCCATAGCCTAGCTTTGAGCCACAACATAACACACCAACAACCTTTTAACGGGCGAATGCAGACGTCCCTTTCCCACACAATGTGTCAACCAACTTGTCAAGGGCAAGCAAAGAAGAAGAAAAAAAAAGAAAAAGAGAAGGAGGAGGAGGAAAAGGAGGTGGAGAAAGAGTAGAAGCAGCTGCAGAGTGAGATTCACAGGGAAATCATAAAAATTATCACTATCATCACCATCGGCGTGCACGCTCACGATAATCGTTGGCGGTCGTAAAAATTAAACAACACACTTCGGCAAGCCACGCTACCCTGTGCCTGGCCACCATCCCCCGACATCCGGTGTCATCGGACAGCAGGCAGGGAGAACGAGAGGTGTGTCCCTGACGTCGTCTCCTGGTATAAAATACAAGGCTCTGGGCTTCAGTGACGCAATAGTGGTTACAGGAGAGGATACTGCGATTTAACAATGTCATCATTACATTTGCCGTATTTTGCTGAGGGGACCGTTGTGTCCGGCTTTGGAAGAGGGAGCAAGGAACTTGGCATCCCCACGGGTAACTATTTAATTATAATATATTAACCCTTTTAGCACGGGAAGTTTTTCAGAGGTCTAGCCAAAAACACGGAGCATTTTTTCAGTGAATTTGGTTATTACTTTATTTAATTTTTTTTGACAGATTTCTGTTATTCTGACCCCTATGAAATAATATATATATTTAAAGGATATAGATTGAAGTTCGTGATTTTCACAATATCGTTAAAATTAATTGATGTATATGCAAATTATCTCATTTGCATATCTAAAAATAGAAAATATGAATTTTAATTTTCAACTTTAATGCTTGAAACATAAAACTAAAAACTAAAATTTTTTTAATTTGAAATCTTTTTATTGATCTTTGGCCTTTTTGCAAATGTTGTAAGCAATTCAATAGTCAAAAACAGGTATATATATGTTAAACAGCAATAATATCTTTAGGTGACATGTGTTTTTCACCATCAGTCAGCACTAGAAATGGATGTGCCGGAGTGTCAACACCTTCGGGTGGATATACCCTGAGCCATGGTTGGGCTGTGGTCTGAACACAACAGCGTCCCCATCTGATTCCCACCATTACTTCTAACACTAAATCCTGCATCAGTATCAACAGAATTAGTGTCATCACTTGATTTAAATGTTTTATCAACATCAAGTTTAGGGGCAAAAACATACGAGTCAGACGTACTTTTAGCTGTTCAGGTCACTATCTAAAAAATTCAACAACAATTTTCACTTCGATACCAAACACTCGAAAGTCGCCATGTGTAAAGCTGATACCGCAGTTAATATAAATGAATCACTTTCAGTGTTTCAAAGTAGGAGATTTCTTAGCGGTTCGAGGCGAAACACGATCGGGCCGATCATCGGCCGTTCCGTGTTTTTGGCCAGACATCCGCTGGCCAATAATCGGCCCGTCCGTGCTAAGAGGGTTAATTATTAACTGCAAGATGATGGAGCTAATTTTAGTTGTCTATTTCCTTAGTAATTTAATTTTTAATTCATCAGTTTATTTTTTAAAGATATGTATATTCCAACACTATTTAACATCTTTTTAGAAACAGTTATGACTGATGACCTACAACATCATAGAACAGGGCTCTACCCTTGCAGTATTGCGGCCTGAAATATCAGTTCGGGGGGCAGTCCAATTAAAAATATGCCGGCTCCGTATAACGAAACAAATTATCTAACAGGGTCTCAGCGATATGTTACTTGCGGACGTGTTTCTTATTGTTTCTGATTACCTGACAATTCTAAAAGACTCACGCAACACTGCAGACGATAGTAGCAGACCACGATAATAATTAATAGCGACCGTTGACACTTTCCATTGTCGGACTTTCTGATGACGAACAAATCGCGGCAAATCTAGGATCGGCTCGGAAAAACGAAACAAATGCTCTAACAGGGTCTCAGTGATATGTTACTTGCTGACCTGTTTCTGTGACAATGCTTCACCGCCGAGCGTATCCCCCGCGCCGCTACGCGCAGCGCGGATAGGGGCTAAACTAGATGGCTGGGACTCATGAGCGGCAGCTAGCGCATCTCCTGCAACTTCCTCCAATTACTTTCCTCGTGAGTCCCAGGCACCTAGTTTAGCCCCACTGGTTTAGCATAGCGGCGCGGGGGATACGCTCGGCGGTGAGTTTAATCGCGTTTTGTGCATACCGACAAGTCTGACATCTAAAACTGATAAATCCTCAATCGGAAAAACAGTATTGCTAATTTGCGTGGGAACGCGTAGTCTACCCGCCATATCGCTTTCATCATCTGTAATGTCTCAAAATTGTAAACGGTCACTTTTATCGCCTGCTAGTATCGTCTGCAGAAAACACTCAACATTGTCACCGGTTGCTTCTATCGTCTGCTACTATCGCCTGCAATGTTGCGTCTCGTGACATTGTAAGGTACTCCTAGTTTTGCCGCAATTTGTTCCTCGGCTGGAACTCCAACAAGTCAGTATTTTAATTGGACTGCGCCCCGAACAGATATTTCAGGCTGCAATACTGCTGGGGTAGAAGTTCGCAGGAGAGCCTAGAACAGTCAGTATAGGAGGTCAAACTATAATGAACTTAAGGTTTGCATATGACATCGATGGGTTGGCCGGGGAAGAACAAGAGATAGTTGAGCTTGTAAGTAAATCTGATCGATGAAACATCAACTAAGTATGACATAGAAATAAACGCAGGAAAAAAAAGCAATGACTCCACTTGCTGGACATGGAAATAAACGCAGAAAAAAAAAGCAATGACTCCAGCTGGCAGAATTTCACCAATCTACGTTAAAGCCACAAATTAGAACAAGTGACATATTTCAAGTATTTAGGATCCATTTTAAGTGACATAGGGTCAAGACTAGAAATCATATCTAGGATTACCCAGACAACATCAGTCCTTGCCAAGCAGCAAACATTATGGAGATTCAAAAACATTTCATGCAAAACTAAGATTTGATTGCTCATAGCACTAGCCTAAAATGGGTACCAGGATGGGCTGTCCTGGGAAAGTAAAGACAGCCGGCGTAATGCTGACCACATTACCCACTGAGTGCTGATGGTCTGTAAAAATATAGGCACTCTTCCCATATGCCCGATATGCCTAAAGGCGGGGAAAGGGATCTTTACTTTTACAGCACTAGTTATAGTGAATTTACATATGACCGAAATATGAACCTTAATATTAGAAATTTGATTTTTCTGAAAAATTCTTGACATATACAGAGACCACATTACAAACAAAGAGGTTTGTCATATAATTAAACAGCACATTGGCAGCTATGAACCTCTTTTTACTACAGTAAACAGGCGAAAAATGCAATGGGATGGACATGTAATAAGATCTAATGGCTTCTCAAAACAGTACTGCAGGGCTCAGTAAAGGGAAAGACGAGAAGAGGCAGACCAAGAAAAACCTGGTTACATAACCAACTAACTGGACAGGCCTCAGGCAACCAATGAAGTCCATCGTAACTGACTGCCAAAGGTGGAGAGAGCTGATCAGTCAACAAAAACTGGTGACCAAACGTCACATACTGTTATGGGATGATGATGAATATATATATATATTTGTATAATATTAATTGTCAGTGAGATTTTAAATCTGAATAATTGTATTGTTGATACTTAAATATTTGCATAGTACTATTATTACCTACCGGACGTAAATTTGCCTAGAAAAAAAACCAGCCAAAAAATGCTGGGGTTGGTAGCTCAATATCCTGTAAAGGATACGCAACTAACTTTAACTAAATAAGAACCAGTATGACATTTGCTGCAATGCTTGTCAATGGCTTTGATGATGACGATCCAGGAAGGGCTTTAAATTACCATACAGATGGCAGCTTTTTAAGTTTGAAGAGGCTTCGAGCTAAAACTAAATCAACTTCGCTTAGGGACCTTTTATTTGCTGATGACTGCGCCCTAAACTCCAGCTCTGAGGCCAGTAAGCAGCACATCATCAGTATTTTCTGAAGGCTTTAACAACTTTGTGCTATCAAAACTGATAAAACTGCTTTTTATCAGCCTGCTCCCAGAAAAAGATTATTGCGATCGCACTATCGCCGTAAATGAACAAAAGTTATATGTATAAAGATTCACTCATCTTGGCAGTACCCTATCTCAGAGAGTCAACTGACAACAAAATCAACACTAGAATCTCAAAGGCCAACAGCAGTTTTGGCAGACTTTACACCAGCGTCTGGAATAGACGTGGCATCTTCCTTCTGACCAAGCTGAAGGTTTACGGAGCTGTAATTCTTCCAGTACTACTCTTACTTGCGAAACGTGAACTGTGTATCAGTGTCAAACTAAAAAGTTGAATCATTTTTATATAGCTTGTCTCAGAAAGCGGCTCAAAACCAAGTGGCAAGATAGGATGCCAAACACTGTGGTTATTGATAGGGCAAACCTGCCTAGCATCCACACGATACTGAAGAATTGTCAGCTTCGTTGGGTTGGTCACTTAACTCGCATGCCAGACTTTCGAGTCCCAAAGAGTATTTTATAACCAGCTCCAGCAAGAGAAGAGATCCTAGGAAGGACAAAAAAAGTGCAATTAGGACACTTTCAAAACTGCTCTCAATTCTGTTGGCATCAACACAGTGATGAAGGAGGCTGCTGCACAAGACTGTGCTGGATTGTATACATCCCTCAGGCATGTTGCATCAGCCTGCCAGGCAGTGGAGGTTGCACACACAGGTAAAAGGGAGGCACACTAAAAAAAAACCAAATCGCTAATTCCACACTTACTGCAGCTTTCGCCTGTTGTCCACACTGCTCAAGAAGTTTCCAGTCTCATGTTGGACAAATCAGCCACCTTCGTACTCATAATCGTTGATCTTTGCTACTTTGGATGGAAAGTGGTCTTTATCACTGATGATGGATAAACAACAGTACTAGTACTTAAGTTGTCTGTAAAAGATGGCCACTTGTATGCTTTGTATTTGGGCATTTCTGTGGTTTTTGTTATTCCCTCTATCCAGTTGCTTTATTGTTTTTAAGCCGTGTTATGACATACATTACTTCTTCAAAATTGGGCTCTTCAATATTCGGTTTACATGTTTACATCTTTTCTTGTGGATAGGTTTTAAGTGGAGTTTCAATTCAGCAAAGTATTCCTTCCATCTGTTACATATTTCCTCATTTTTATTTATCATGTTCCCATTGTGATCTTTTAAACTATAAAAGCTTTGTTGATGTTCTTATTTTACAGTCTTCAGTTCTTTGAAAAACTTTTTGGATTTGTTGTTCTGATGGTTAGCTTTCCTTAGCCATGACAGTGTTGTTCATGTATTCTCGCTTTTGGTATCTAACTACTTTTGTAGCTTCTTTATTTTTTTTTGCATTTTGAAGGTTACTAGTATCAGTTAGCCAAATCTGTGGTATGTTTTTTCTTACTGACTGCTTCTTCACATTTTCTATCGAACCATTTGTTCTTTCTGTTTATGATGGACACACCAAGACATTCTTCTGCAGTGATTTCAATTATATTCATCCAGGTTTGGTCAATGTGCTCC